ATTTTTTTTTTTTTTTTTTTTTTTTCTTTTTTTTTTCTTATTAACAGGGAGATAGTGGCTTTTTATGCATGCAATTTATAAGTATGGATACACAAATAGTTGCATTTAATGTTGAGGGAGGAGCGAAGATATTTAACTGCAGAACTGCTGAATGTATTGCTACTCTCCCTCCTATACATACAGATAAGGTAAGATATATACATATATCTATCTAGCTAGCTATACAACTACATAGATAGATAGATAGCTAGCTAGCTAGCTAGCTAGCTAGCTAGCTAGTGGATCAGATAGCTAGGTAGCTACAGGTATATAGATATATAGGTACGTAGGTAGCTGGCTAGCTAGCTATCTACGTACCTAACGAATCAGCCATCCATCCAGCAATCTATCTGTCTATCTATCTATCTATCTATCCAGCTATTTATTTATTTATTTATTTATTTATATATATATATATGTATACAGGTATGGTGTATAGATGTATGGGGAAGTTGTATGTCATCAGTTGGCGGTGATGGACGAATCGTCTTATGGAGGGATATTACTCAAGAAACTAATGCAAGAAAAAAGGTAATTATTTTAATTAATTAATTAATTAATTAATTAGTTAATTAATTAATTAATAGCTAGATAGCTAGCTAGCTGGGAACTGGCTTGCTGGGGAGGTAGCTGGGTAGTTGTTACATGGGTAGCTGGGGAGGTAGCTGGATGTCTAGCTGCTTTTTGCTAGCTAGCTACTTAGCTAGCTAGGTAGCTAGCTGAGTAGCTAGCTGAGTAGCTAGCTGAGTAGCTAGCTGGTTAGCTAGCTGAGTAGCTAGCTGGTTAGCTAGCTGAGTAGCTAGCTGGTTAGCTAGCTGAGTAGCTAGCTGTGTTTGTTGTCTATTAGGGAGGCTGGTATGTTGCATGTTTATTGGTATGAATAGTTGCTGCTGCTGTTGCTGCTGTTGTTTATGTTGGTATTTTTTGCTGCAGCTACAAGAATTAGAGGAGCAGCAGCAACTTGCTGCAGTGCAGCGGCTAGAGTGCAGCGGGCGCAGCAAAGAAGTTGTTCGTTTGCTGCTGCAGTTAGATAAGAAATATTCTTTGGCATCTTTTATACAAAGACAGACAATTAATTGGTTATGTAGCTGCCTAGACACCCGAAATCCTGCAGGATCTATAAGAAAATATGATGCTGCTGCTGTATCTCAATTGTTGCTGCCAGTAATCCTGCAGCAGCAGCAGCAGCAGCAGCAGCAGAGGAAGAAACATAAGAGGCAACAGCAACAACAAGGAGAAGGAGAGGAGGAAGAAGAAGAAGACGAGGAAAAGAAGAAACAACAAGAAGAGGAGCTTCGTGCTGCACTGCAGCAGACATTGCAGAAACAGCTGCAGCAGCAGCAACTGCAGCAACAGGTGCCATTCCAACAGCTACAGCTACAGCAGCAGCAGCAGCAGCAGCAGAATGCATGCAAGGATACAGATTGGATAGAATTAATAGAGGAATTAAATAATAAGGAAGCAAATACATTAATTAAATTTATTGCTGAATGGACAGCTGAGCCATCCATGGCAGCAGCAGCACACCGTTTGCTGCATTTGCTGCTGCGCAGCAAGCAGCTAGATTTGCTGCTGTCAACAGATAACAACAACAGCAGCAGCAGCAGCAGCAGCAACAGCAGCAGGAGGAAGAAGACACTTATTGGGGGTAAACCAGCAATAGATATAATAGAGAGCTTAATACTATTAACACAAAGACAAGAAAAAAGAACACAAGCATTAATAGAGAAAAGTTATATTCTTGATTTGCTGCTGCCTGCTGCTGCTGTAGTGCAGCACGACTTACAGGATCTGCTGCTGCCTCTACAACAGCAGCAGCAGCAGCAGCAACAGCAACAGCAGCAAATCAAGCTGGAGGCAGCAGACACAACAGGGGGAAAGAAAAAGAAACGCAAAATACAACAACAGCAAATGCAGCAGCAACAGCAACAAATGCAGCAGCAGCAGCAGCAGCAGCAGCAGCAGGAGCAGGAGTTGCTGCTGAGTGCTGAGGCACTGCAGCCGCACTTTGCTGCTAAATTTACAGAAGAATGTCTCTATGGAGATTTATAATATAAATTAACTTTTATTTATTTATTTTATTTATTTTATTTATTTATTTTATTTATTTTATTTATTTATTTTATTTATTTTATTTATTTAATTTATTTAATTTATTTATTTATTTTATTTCCCGTAGTTTTATTACTATAGTTATTTATTATTTTATAAATAAATAAATAAATAAATAAATAAATAAATAATATAATTTAATATTATACAAATAATTAGACTAATTATTTATTCTTGTTAGTTGCCTGTTGTTAGCTAATTATACATATTTATATCTATGTACATATATTTATATTTATATATACAAATAAATATATAAATATATTATTTATATTTATAGTTGGGGTGTATATGGAGATTATTA